AAAAAAAAAAAAAAAAAAAAAAAAAAGCAAGTCAGATATGAGCTGAACCCTGAAACCAAATCATTCACCAAGGTCACGATTGGTTTAGAAATTTGGGCTGTTTCCTTCCTGTCCCTTGCCAGCAATTTATGGCGCTTCCCCCTTGTAGCTTGCAGTCGGCTGGGCCCTGAGCCACATGAGGCTGTTTTTAATGGCAAAATCTTCAAAGTTGTACTTAAAATATTTGCATTGTAAAGCCCCTCATGGAAGCCAAACCTCAGTTTCAGAAGGAGCCTCCTAGCAAGCAGCAACTTGCCTTCAGAGAAGGGAGAAGGGCTCCTGCCCTGACACCACCTTCTAGCCGCTGATCCAAGAGCTGATGACACCCCAGGAGGAGACTCAGATCATCACGAGACTTTGCAGACGCAGAGACGGGAACAAACCGCAAACGGTTTTTCTAAGCCAACGACAGTGCAAGGTGACTCAGCAGTTAGTTGAGCAATTCAAAAAAGCGCTTTTTTTTCACACATTTAATTGATCCTGTGAGGAAATAAATGTTAAGGATGAAAGATGAGTAATTGTTCAGCTTCACAGTGGGAAGCCTTAGTCCTTGTTTCTTGTACTTTTCTCCCGTGTCCGGAATGAAACAGACACATCTAGGGAGTGACAGGCCCGCACACAGATAACTCACTTTAAAAAATTAAAAATGAGGAGATAAAAACCGATCGTTGAAATTTAAACTCAGAAAAAAAAAAAAACAAAACCTCACGAGGAAAGGCAATTACTCTCTTTAGCAAAGACATTTGATCTTATCTGACTCATAACGGAATCTTTCATAAAAATCAAATTCTCCACTATAGGGTTTAATCTAAAAAAACTAAATTTATGGACAAAGGGCACCCATCGATTTTTCCTTTGCTGAATATGAAAGCTGAGGGAAAAGGAAAAGGAGGCAGAGGAAGATGTATGCTGACTGGGAAGATGATGAATTTTGGAGGGAACAACCCGTCTAAGGGGAAAATAAGCTCCTTCTGTGCGGAAGGCAATGATAATCCTACCTTTTCTCTATGAAATCTGAAGTAAAATATCAGTTTCTTGTTCAAAAAAAGAGCTTATGCTCAGAATTACAACCTTCATCCTCCTTGCATTAAAAAAAAAAAAAGTCAATTTAATTCAACCAGCTTTGTGATCTAATCATTACTCAGAGCTGAAGATGGTTTTTCCATTAAAGTCTCTCCATCATTCTCACTTTCTGACCTGTGAACATTCTTATTAGCTGCCTTATTAAGATGATATCCTGTCTCTGAAGTAAGAAAAGATTATCTCCTTGCCTGACATGTCATTGTCAGAGTAATCTTTGTTTAAAAAAAAAAGAAGGAAAGAACTGATTGTTAAATAGACATTTAAATGTACGGCACACCATGTCGTACAAGGACATCCTCGATGGGACAGCGTGATGGAACCTCAGTCACTTCCTCTGCCAGGACCAGCAAACAAAGCCAGAAACAAATTACTATCTGCTTAAGCTCAGGTTGATATCAACTGGAGGTAAGACTTGGGTTTTAAGAATGAAATAAGGGACACATGAAAATAACCAGCTAAATATAGAATTACGTACACATTTCACATCTGCTGCATGTGCCTGTCATGTGTATACGTGAACGTCTACTCCCTAATGAAAACAATCGGAGAAGGGGAGCAGCCCAGGAGATGAGTGCCCTTTTGGGGTGAGTGATGTGGACAGAGAGGCCTCCGGAACCCTGGTCTCTTCTTCCCTCTGGCCTCGTGTTCAGACTCATGGTGGCAGATCATGACAAAGCCCACTGCCGCCTAAGTGGTGGTCAGCAATCTTTGCTTATTTTCTACCCTTTTTCAAAAAGGGTCTGCAACAAAACCAATGGCCCCCGCTCGATGAAACAAAATTCATTTGGTTTACCGTCTCGGATTTGATAGATTTGACTTCCTTAGCAGAAAACCTGAGGAGCCCGGGTCCATCTCTCCTTCCTTTTAGTGAGATACCTGGGATCCGCTCACCTCTGAGCTGCCTTTGGTCTAACTGACTCCAGGGAAAGGAGGTGGGTGTGGTGCTTGAGTTACACAGACTATTGCTACATTATATAATGTTGTTTTACAATGTATAGTTACATATACATGTTTATAAGACTATCTGTAGTCCTAATGGCCTAAGAGAGGCGATAACAGGGGGACCACATTTTCTGAGGGACAGTTGAGTGACTGCACCTCCATCCTTAGCTGTGTGAGGGCCTTGGGGTTGCCACCTGTACCCTTTCCTGACTTGAGACTTCTCCCTGTGGACACACTCTCCCTCTGGTCCCAGCAAGTCCTTGTGAGATGTGCCGGAGCAGAGGCCAGTTCATTTAGACAAGATTGCTTCATCGGGCATATTCTCACTTCTGTGCTGACCCACATCTATTTCTCCACCTCTTCTCTGTGTGGCAAAAACTGTCAGTTTTAATCAACAAATCCTCTGTGATTTAGGCTCCCACAACATTCAGTACTGTCTCTCTTCTCACTGTCAGCTGAGATAAATAACCTGTGAGTTTTGGCATTTGCAGCGGGTCTCCTGGTCAGTGAGAAAATTAACAAATCTGTCCATCTTCGCTTTTCTACTTTCCCACACCTTGTAGGCATATAAGAACCAAAGAAGTGTTATCTCCTTGGCTTGCTATACACCTCTTGTTACTAATCTTGAGGTGACAGAGTTTGGATTTAGTGGCAGGATAAGGGTTGCTATGGCAACCAGCTGATGCTCGGCCCTCCATGGGAGGGCATTTTGGACAGGCCTTTGCAAAGCCTGCCCTTTGGGTGGGGACCATGACCGTAATGGTGCACAAGACTCACCCAGGGCTCTAGTGCCCTTTGTGTCTTCAAAGCATCATACAAATATTAATGAATGTCCCTCTGGAAGGAGCAAAGCCTCATTGTGTAATCTGGGAAGTAAGAACCAGGCTAGTTTGGAAGTCAGCTTGAATTTGGACTTCTCTCTGGGATCGAGGTACACATGGTCAGGACTCAAGCAGAACAGTCACCTTGTTGAAATGGTCCATAGTGCAAAGGGCAACAACGGAAATATTACATCGCTCTCTGTATAATTATTCTTTTATTTATTCTAGTGTATCGGTTCCTCCCATTCCGAATTTCCCGGCTACTCTGGGCAGCCTGGGCCTTCCAGTGGACTCATTAATTAGGTCCTTCTCTTTCCTGTCCCCTCCCTCCTCAGGTGTTCAAATAAACAATCAATCACCCACTTCCGTGTTTGCACAGACAGAGACGAGGAAACTTTCAACTTTCTCTAAATATGGAAAAAACAATTACATCTGCTAGTAGACTAAAAAAACGCAGCTAGGAGAGTTTTCACAGGACTACTACAGACACACAGAGAACAGGAAGAAATATGCCTTTTATTAGAAGTCTCATATGTACAGGGAAAGCTGTTTCTCACAGCACAGGGGAGGCTGTGAGGAAGAGCAACTGTCGTCGGAGGTCACCACGCTTACACTGGTCACATCATTTCAACATCGCTACGTTCCGTGAACAAACACAACCATTACACAGAAATGTGAAAGAGACGTAGGTACGGGGATGAACCCTCACGTATTTTCTAAAAAGAAGTGGACACAAAAATACAATGTGCCAGTAAAAATAAAAAATAGGCATATCAGTACATGTCTTTTTTTTTTTTCTTTTTTGTTAACACACAGTATGCTGAGCTTTCATCTCGAGCTTTTCTCACATCGGGATTTGCAGGCACTTTAGCAATCCAGCCATGGTTTACAACAGGATGTTCAGACCAACAAATGAGAAGATGGGAACACGGGAGTAACCCAGGTCCTCACGACCCACACGTACATTAACATATTGACACCAGGGCAATCTTTTGTTATCCCTGCTTGGGGACATCAGAATGTTCTGTGGCATGTGGAACAGCTTTCTTCTTATTTACCTTTTCTATTTCATGGCAGAATTATCTTGAAACCTGGATGACATCACCAGGCAGAGAGACAGCAGGTGGATGAATAGACAACCATCCTTTGCAACCGACTTTAAAAACCGGAGAAAGCAGGTGAGGTTCTGGAATCCCAAAATGAATGTCCGACTGATCTTTGTTCCATGCTATGCCCTTCCTGCCAACTCATCAAACAAAAACTAATTTAAAAAGAATAGCTGGGATGTACTGGGCCAGACGCTCATCCTGGGAGAATTCTTTCTTTCCTTAGCTACCACCCACCGTGTCATGACACACACTGGGCCGGCGGGGGGGGGGGCCCCC